TAATAGTATAATTATTATTTTCTCCTTTCTCCTTTACTTTTTCCCAAAATAATGTATTTTGCAATGTAAGATATAAATGTGATAATAAATACTCCAGAAGTACTTGGTGCTTCACCAGATATTTTACTATTTTGAATGGACTGTATGTTTTCATCAACATAAATGCAATTACATATAAAGAGGAAAGTCATATAGGATTAGGTCAAAGGTTAGGATGATGGTTTGGATGTAACAACATAATTGGATGTAAAACACAATCTCTTTCTGTGTTTTCAATTTTTTTTTGTTCTTATTTTGGTGTTAAATTCAAAGTATTCCCATTTTCTGTGTCAAGTCTAATCGATGCCGATCTGGTCCAAGATTCTGCAGACATCTGGTGGTCACTAAATGTATGTGCACTCATGTTATTTATACATGGCAAAGAAATTGGATTCAGATATAGAACCATTTTATTGGTCAAGTGTGTTTAAATGCATGAAGAATTTGTTATTGATTCCAGAAGCTTCAGTACCTTCCAGTTCACACCATCTAGACAGATTAGAATTTTAAATGACAGGTCATGCTTAATAAATCTGTACAATCTTGACTACTATGCTGAATGTGACAGGAACAACATTTCATACTGTCGGCACAGGCAATTTCATAAGGCCAGATACTACTTTTGAGGCCTAACTGCTTAATCATATACAGCTAAATCCTGCTTTTTGTTATTTTTTAGTGGGACTGTGGGATTTATCACTTGCAAAAGAATTCTTCACACCTCTGGTGTTGGAGTTAACAGGTAGGCACATGGTAAAACAAGACATGTGTTTGCAGCTGCACTTGCCTGCTGACTTTAGGGTTTAAGTGGACATGGAAGGTCTCGAAGACTACACTTACTGTCTGAGAGTGAGATCTGTTCAGTTCACAAAACGTTCACAAGGATTTGCCGAACATTGCTGTCAAAAAAAAAAAAAGATTTTATAAAGAATGTACTTGCTAAGAGTAATTTCCAACTGAAAAAAAAAATAAACTAGAAAAATATATAGTCACTACAGAAACATGACTTTTACTTTTACAATTTTCCTGATATTTCCAGATTTTTCATTACTTTGGGAACCCTGGTCTTTATATTTAAATTTTAAAATCTTTTAAATTCCTCTTTTATCCTGCTGATCACAGCTGTTATAAAATATATACAATATATCAAAATATTTACAATTGTTTGCACATTTTATTTTCATATTCACTTCCAAAACACATCTGACAGTCACTGCAAACTATCTACACAATGACATTTTTCTCAAAATATACACGATGCTGAATAATCGAGACAAACTTCAGACATGATACAATCTCAATTTAAACTGCAATACAGTCCCTGTTTTCCAAATGCTCTTGCTTACAAAAAGGGTTGTCGATCCAAAAATAAATGATTAAAAAAAAAAAAAAAATGAAATCAAGCCTTTGAGATATGTTGGTCTTATTGAAGCATGGATTTGCTTGTAAAAGACATCAAACATCACTAATATGTTGCATATCACTGTGTTCCACAAATGCATTGAGGATATAAGTGCTCTCGTTTATAATAAAGTGTGTTTTCCCTTGTTTTAATCTAATTTTCATCATAGTAGTTCATAATGCTCTGAATGCATTGACAATGGCGCCCACTAGTGTTCATGATGGAGTCAGTTATAGCTTTAGTAATGCATTACACCACAGTTTAGATTGAGCTTGCATGCAATATATGCTTTCGAATTAAAAAGTTCGAATGAAGTGCAGAGTAAATATAATAATAATTGATCTGTAACCATAAACATAACAGAAAGCTAACGGTGAGGACCGATGTGTTTCTGATAAAAGATTGCCTTTAGAAGTTTCACCATAGCAACCTATGAGAAATTGTAATGATAGACATTAAATATTACAGTGAAACAACATGCAAAGTTATTACAGACTGAAAATATTATAACAGGCTCTTCATGTCATTGAGCGTGTTTCTGGAGAGTTAATATCACTCTTAAATAATAGTAAGACATATCGGCATCACTTGCTTCGTAATATGTGGTTTAACAAAACAAAACCCTCATAATGTCCAATTGTTCCATAGTTTACGCTTCCAAAGTCATTTGTAAACTGCACATACACCAAATTAAATCCTATAGACATATACTGTACTGTATATCTCCCAATCACTCTTTCTGAACTTCATTCAGAATGTCACCCTAATTTATTGCATGAAACTGTATGGGCCAAAGTGCATTAGCATAAACAGGGCGTATTCTCCTCCTGTTCACCAGTGAGCTGTATGAAGCTGCTCTCACTTGGCTGTTTCAGTCTCAGCAGCTTGCGATTCTTCAGCTTGTAGGCCAGCGTGAGGAAAATGGCATCTACATGCTCTTTTTCCACAGGGTCTCTTGCAGACGTCTCAAAAAGCGGGAAGTTGTAGCTATCAGCCAGTCGCTGAGCTAAAAACGTGGACACCTCTCTCATTCTTCTCAAGTCACATTTGTTCCCAACTAGGATGCGGGGGACCATGGCAGGAACTGAGTGACGGCTGCACTCCTCAATCCACTCCGGCAGACTCTCAAATGAAGCCAGACTGGTCACGTCATACACAAAGATGATGGCATGGACGTTTCTGTAGTAATGCTCCACCATACTCTTCCTGAAGCGCTCCTGTCCCGCCGTGTCCCAGATCTGCAACTGAGAATGAGAATTCAATTTTGATCATTGTAGATATTATACTTGTATACGACCAGGGCTAATTGTCATAAAGATCTAAGCAGTTTTGAGCCCAAAGTGCTATTATACACGTGTGATAAATCAGCACATCAGTGAACTTACATGTAACTTTAAAGGGGTCATATGATGTTGCTAAAAAGAACATTATTTTGTGTATTTGGTGTAATGAAATGTTTATGCGGTTTAAGGTTGTATTTCTTCAGCGACCAGCACGGATCAGCTCTAGGCATGAAGAAGCTGATATCGTCCTCTTTTGGAAGGCCAAACAAAGTAGTTTCGCTTTCACAACGAAACAGACAGCACTTTCACGACATGGCGGCCGCAACAACAATACTACAGCAAGAATAAAAGTTACGCCTTCTTTCTTTGCGTGAACATTTGGGCGGCGTTATGCAAATCTTCCCACATAGTGACGTAGACATGTGGGGGCGTGTTAGAACGAGCCGTTTTAGGTAGGCGTGGTTGACTCTTAACTTTTATAAAGAATATCTCTTTGGATTTGAGACTTTAGTCTTTGCAACTTTACAGATCTTCTTTATGCACCAAGAGCTTGTAACACTCCAAAGAGAAAGGAAAACTTGAAATCGCATCATATGACCCCTTTAATATATATACACTGCTGTTCAAAAGTTTGGGATCAGGAAGATTTTTTAATACAGAAGAAACAGTAATATTGTAAAATATAATTACCATTTAAATAATGGTTTTCTATTTTAATATACTTTCAAATATAATTTATTTATGTGATGCAAAGCTGAATTTTCAGCATCATTACTCCAGTCTTCAGTGTC